GAGAGACGTAGATCTGAGTGTCGTCTGCATAATTGTGGTAGGACACGTTATTGCTCCTTATTAACTGGCCTAATGGCAGCATGTAGAGATTGAACAACAGGGGGCCCAGGATTGACCCCTGAGGCACCCCACAGGTCAGGGCCATGTGATCTGAGACACAGTTTCCAATTTCAATAAAATACTTCCTACACAACAAATACTACAACATTATAACATAGATTGAAAATTGTAGAATATGGGTCCTTTAAAATATTGCTATTCAAGAAGTGATGTAGTGAGGCAACAAATCTGAAACGTCAAACTCTTATTTTGATACTAATGAATAAAATTAATACAGAGTCTGATGCAACAATCATAACAATCATGTAAAAAAAATTAGGCCACAGAATGTTTTCTAAATTCCCATGTGGTCTTATAATCTGTGTAATTCCTCAGTGGTCCATGTTCATATTCATTCTAGAAGTATTCAGGAAAGGTTCGTTTCTGTCCTATGAAGGAACACAGGGTATATAGTAAACATAATTTAAAAAAAATAAATAAATAACTCGAACCTTTTTAGATTATAGATTTTTAGCAATAGCCACTATTTGCCGGTAAAAAAAAACATTTCAGGAGACTTCATCAAGAAGCTCACTGAGAGAAGACCAAGCGTGGGCTATACTTTGAAAATTTTAATATAAAATATACAGGGTTCCCACGGTCAAGGAAATGCTGGAAAAGTCATGGAAATTGTAAATGTTATTTTCCAGGCCTGGTAAAGTCATGGAATTTTAGTATCTCTTTCACACAGCTACAGTGTTCTGTTAAGTTTTCATTAGGCTATTATGATTATTTCCAAACTTATGTGCCTTTTGTTTTAAAAGAGACGACTGTAAATGCACTGACAGAATTTTTAATGTTAAAAACTATAAAACCAAACCATAAGGTGAATGGAAAGAGTTAACATTTTATATTTATCTCTAAAAGTATGATCAATTCTACACATGTAGGTGTCGTAAATTCGTGGAAAATTCACTTTAGGTCATGAAAAAGTCATGGAAAAGTTTTGAAGTTTTGTCAGTGAAAAAGAGTGGGAACCCTGAATATAAAAAACTGTAATTTTTAACTTGAGTAACAGGGCTCCAGACTGAGTAGTGCCCTCAGTTGGCATCACACACCCAGGGATTGTTGATGCCATGAGCTCTAAAGCATGAGCACAAATTCTAAATTCTTGATAATTATCAAATGGACTTTCTTGTACGGACACATTTTTGTGTGCTTTCTAAACATGTGATGCCCTCTCATGACCTGAGGATCCAAACACGCAGCTTCTTTACCAAACAGACCAGTTTACTGACACCACTGCACCAAAACTACGTCAAGCAGTCGCTCCAACATTTAAACCATTACTGTTTAATTTGTATTTTTATGATAACATTAGATCAGCTGAAGATAAAGAAAATCACGTGTTGTGTTTCTGTTGCCGTCATAACCCAGGCTTTAAGTGCATTAGACCGGAGTTTAATAGAGACAAACTGGATTGACCTGCGCTCATTATTAAAGTATTCATACCAACCAGGTACACTCTGCCAAAAGACGTCAGCAACTGTTTTTCTTTCTTTTTTTTTTTTTTTTTTTGTCTACACTACCAGACAAAAGTTCACCCTCTCATTCAGTATTTTTTTGTTTTCTATTT